AAAAACGGAGCCGCTACCCGTTCTGAGCAAGAGAGGCAGACAGCGCGATGCCACCATAGCAAGTCAAACAAGGTTCCACAGGAACGAAACCGAGTGTGCGAGCTTACAGTCGAAATTATAACATTTTATCACTCAGAGGGGAATAACAGGTCTAGTTGCTGAATCCGCAATGCATTGACCGGAATTGCTGGGTTGTCTTCAACGAAGCGCCATGGCCCTGGAATTCCGAACCTCTGCGGATGGAAGTTATTCTACTCAGATGTCGACTCCACGACCTGCGCTCAGGTAGAGCGTGCTTCTAGTAGAACCCAACCTGGCTGACAGAATCACTGAATAGAAACCTGCAAGCAGAGAACGGTAATTCTCCGGCTGAAGTTACAACTGGCGAAACCCTTGACCTCCTGACAGGTGCATGCACCCAATTCAGAGGGAAAAATGAGTCCCTCATAACGGAAATAGAGGGGCTCTGTACGAAGTGACAACTGCCTAATCCATCACTGTGACGAGCGATTTCAATGTACACGTTGAAGCAGACACTGAACAATTGAAAGTACTACCCTAATGACCCAATAATAACGGCATCAAACTGTGGCGGTTTGAGCAGACAATGGACTGTCTATTATGAGCACCTTCTTCAAGGATCGTAAAATGCTTCACTATACCTGGTATAGGGAAGCTTCTGCAACGAAGTCGATGATCGATTTGAAAATTATATCGTCTGACTTATGGAGCCCTGTAGTGAATGCTCGTGTTAAGGGAGGCGCAGAGTCGTCAACCGATCGCTATCTTGTTGCTGGCAACCTCCGCTGCAAACTGTACTGCGTGACGACTTGGCATCAGGAGTATAAGGAGAATCAAGTGGGAAATATTTTTTTCTGCAGACAATATGGCTAAACGTGCAAGAGCATCGCACGACGGTTTGAACAGATCTAAATGATGACGGCTTACGAGGAAAACGAGTAAAAGGTTTTGACGGCGGTTTACTGTCGGCTGCAGATCGCGAATTTCTTAGTGGACACGAAAGATTCGACTGTGTGTCAGAGAGAGGAAGGCTGCATTCAAGAGACGGCTTGGAAGCGAAGAGCCTTCAATTCGGATGCGGGATGAAAGCTAATTCCCAGTGTAAGTTCGGTGAGGTGCTGGAGTCAAATTTCCAGATGGCAAACAAACTACTCTAGCAGACCATCCGCCGTCTCCGTTTATTAAAGAAGGACAGTCTCAGAGTCATGAAGGATAAGTCTGGACGCCTTCTTACTGATATACTTTGGCGATATCGACAGTACGCTGAAGAACTTCTTAAGCCTGAACAACTGAAAAGCAGCATGTAACGGGTATTAGTCTTTCAGTAGACGAAGTCGCAGAAGCTGTAAAATGCTTGAAAAGTGGCAAGGCCGATAGAATCGATGATATCC